TATTCCATATTGTATTGAACATTGTATTAATTTCTATTAAGTTTTCTGATTACAAAAATTTAAATCTTGCATATATAAAGTTTGAAAAACAGCCGAAATAATGCTGTTGGTGCATTTTATTACTCTATTGTGGAATGAGACTTTAAATCCAATCATAAGTTCATGAAAGTTTTTCACATTATAAATATTAAACATGCCCGTTGCGCTACATCTCCAAGGTAACCCTAACATTGCACGAAACGCATTGTTGTATTGCACTCGTAGTGTGTTAAAGTTTTGTTTGTTAAACTTATACCAAAGGCCAGCAGTATAAAATGCCTGGCAGTATGACTTGAATAATGTTACTTTAACTTGTTCAGAACAATGTGAAAAACGCCTTGCTAACATATTGCTTTTCATAGCAAGATTTCTTCTCTGTCTTTCCAGGTCCTCGTGATCACATAAAGTATCAGTTAAGACGTGTCCCAAGTATTTAAACTGTGTAACAAAGTTAAGGGGCCTCCCACATAAAGTAACCGTTGGTATATTAGTAGGACCTTTACCACTTTTAAAAATCATTATTTCGGTTTTGTTGACATTATAATTTAAATAGTGTTTCAAAGCATACTTTTCGCAAATTTTCACTAGATGACGGAGGCCAGCGATCGAGGGACACAGCAGCACCATGTCATCAGCGTAACTGATGTTATTAAGGCTTTCACCTCCAACATAGCATCCGACTCTGGTGCTGCTAAGTTCACCGATCAGCTGGTCCATGTATAAATTAAAAAGGATAGGAGAGGTGAGCCCTCCCTGTCTCACACCACACTGAAGTTTGTAGGGATCAGAGTGAACATCACCCCAACGCACCTGATTACACTGATTACCATACCAAAATTCTAAAAGATTTACTACTTTACAATGAACCTTTGTATTACGCAGCTTACCCCAAAGAATATCATAATTTATTGAGTCAAACGCTTTACTCAGGTCTAGAAAACATGCAAAGACAGAGGTATTATTATTAACATAATATTTTACTGTATTCTTTAGTGCAAATATCGCTAGGTCAGTTGATAATTCATTCCGAAATCCGAACTGTGCATTACTTAAATTGATATTATTTGTAATATTAGGATATATTAATCTCTCCAAAATTTTTGAAAGGACAGTAGCTAAAGAAATTGGGCGATAATTTGATAGACTAGACAGATCTCCAGTTCGGTTTTTAACTATTGGCACAACAATGGTTTTCATTAAGTTATTGGGAAGATATCCATGTTGAAGGCATATATTATAAAAAAATGATAATTTTTCAAACAGCAATGGCCCTCCGTACAGTACATGCTCAATACTGAGCCCATCGTGGCCCGGAGACTTGCCATGTTTCATTTTCAAAACGCATTTTCGAACTTCCTCTGCATCAAAACACAGGGGCGGCATTGATAACTGGAGCGGTTTCGACATGCAAGTCTTCGTTCCACGACTGACCCCGTCAGTACCCGCAATGTTAGGGCTGCCAATTTTAAACAAATTTGCAAACATTGTAGCAATCTGTTCGTGATCCTGACACTCATTTATTGAAACGGGAATGTTACGCTTAAAGTTTAATTTATTAATTTCTTTCCAAAATTTACCGAAGTCCTTATTATAACGACAGGTTGCTATTATGTCCATTTTAATTTTATGCTGATTTTTTTGGCACCATTTCACTTTATTCTTAAATATTTTCTTATATTTACACATATTGTCATAAGTGGGTCCTGCTGAAGGCGATCCGTTTAATTGCCACATTTGAAAAGTTTGCCTGGCCAGTTTATGTGCATACTTCACATGATCATTCCACCCCACTACTCTCTTTTTATGTACTTTTCTATTACAATAGGTATTGACAGAAGCTCTAGTAAGAATATTAATAATATTATTATAAATTATATTTATTTTACTATAACATATTTCACTATTACAGTTATTGTTTGTACAAGCTATGTCAGGCCAAAATTCTTTTACAATATAGTGTTGACACAAATTTGAGTATTCCGAAATTTGATCATATGTTCTTACCCCCCAATTTACCTTATTTACGGTTTTAGTGCCACATTCAATTTTATTTGACTTTAATAGATCCAGGTCACACTCAATAACAAGAGGAAAATGATCTGATGTATATGCATCATATAGCACATAAACATTTGAAATAGTCTCGTAAGCCGCAGTTGTTACCAGGCAATGGTCTAACCAACTTTTTGTACCATGACAGTCACTGACGTACGTATATGTGTTGGATGACTCACCCAGCAATTCCAAATCAGCACAATGCAGGTTATACTCGCAACAGTAAGTAGAGAGTTCCTTACCGAAGAGTCGACCGGGATTCGCATTATAATCACCAAACGACAGCACACATTCCGTGTCATTATCTTCTATAATAGCACTTATTTTGCCTAAACACTCTGTAAACAAAGGCAGGTTGTCACTGCATTCCGTGGGCATGTACACTGATAACACCAGCAAACCGCACTGTGCCAGCTGAAAGCGCACAGCCGCAATACGCTTAGATTCACAGAAAATTGGTGTTGCACACGGAAATCTCGATTTTCTCCACAAAACCGCAACTCCCCCGTACGGCCTTCCCTTGAGAGTTCCTGTCGTATCAACTGCTGATAATAAAGTTAATTCTAGGCGGAATACGATTAATTTTAATTTTGGTGGAAATGGCACTTATGACTCATTGATTTAAAAGAAAAAACATTAGATGCTCCCCTTATTTGCAATACAGCTAACTTATTTTACCTGCAAAAGACTTTTAATAGTGCTCATTTTAAAGCTTATTTCAAGCACTACAAGACACTTTTGTATTAGAATGCATAAAATGCATCTGCTCGCCGCTAGATGGCATTGACCACATCGATTACAGACACAATAAAAAACGGCTTTGATCTTTAATATCTAGCTTAATATTGCATTTAGAATACTTTATAAAAAACCAAATTGTTCATTGTTTTACCTGCTACAATTTTGTTCTTTATAAAATTTTCGATAAAACGTATATTTTTGGAGATATTTGTAAAAAACCGATAAAAAACGAGAAAAAATTGCGAATTTTCAATTGCCAAAAACTTTAAAAGTATTGGATTTTTTGCAAAACTTTATAGATGATTTTTTGCTTATAATTAGGTTCTATCGACGTCCGAGGTTATTTTGAAAAAAAAAATTCACCCCCGAGAAGGGGTGGCAACCACCCCCAGGGTGGTTGCGGAGTTCAAATCATTTTCACTATTGAAGTTAAGTATATTACCAGCGATAAATAAAGTATTTGAGAAAATAATTTACAACCAATTACTAGCACACTTTTCAATAAATAAGCTATTTATTTAAAACAGTTTGGTTTCGCTAGAGGCTGCTGTAACTGCACTTCTCAATACATATTTTTTACATATTGTAAAAAAGAGTAAGAGTAAGCACGACGCTATTGGCAATTTTTGCGACTTATCAAAGGCGTTTGACTGCGTTAGGCCATGAAACATTGTTAAATAAAATGAGGCATTGTGATGTATCAAATACTTCACTAAGTCAGATAAAGTCTTATCTTTTTGCTAGGATACAGAAAGTAATTATAAATGAAGCAGGAGCACCAATTCTACGGGCGTGTGTTAGGGCCGTCAGCCTTTATACCCTAGCTTTATAAGCAATACTAAATGATCTAGTTAGTTATAGACACCTCAGCATTTATTATAGTTTATATACTCATGTTTAAGTTAATTAAGATTGAATTCATTGTAGTAGTGTAAGGCTGCCCAATTGTAGAAATAAATCATTTTTTTAGTTAAAACTCGTTCTTATTATTTGATTGGCGCAGCCGGTAGGATCCCAGTAGTTGGGTCGCGATATTTTTTCACAAAGTTCTAAATTAACTTAGAAACATTTCGCCGCACCGTCTGTCTCTACAGTTTAACTGGGATCACCGAACAAATGAATGTATTGAATAATACGTCGAGGAGCAACAGCAGCCAGAACCACTACAAGTCTTCCACGTCATGGGAATAACTGCGGGTTTGTGAGTAAAACTCTTCACTATCCTGTCTTTTTTCCTCTATGAACCTTAAATTATATGTGTTATTAGGGATTAGAAAACGCCAGAATAACATTAGGATAAAACTTTCTATTTTAATTAATTAATATTCTACTGAATTCTATATTCTCATTTAATAATTTGCGTTTTGATTGTTTTATCGTGCATTTTAATTTTGTGTTTTTCTTTTCTTTTGTGGCTTACGCGTGTTTACATACTTTGTTAAAAATGGAAAACATAATTCACGTCCCGTCTGAAATAATAAATAAATAAATAATAAATATTTCCAACACTCACACCAATTAGCCTAGCCCCAAAGTAAGCACTATAAGGCTTGTGCTATGGGATGCTAGGGTAACGGATAGAATACATAAACTGTACATATATAAGTATATTTTTATAGAAAATACATATTAAACATCCATGACTGGAGTTCAAATGCTCGTATTCATCACACAAACATCTGCCCCCACCGGGACTCGAACCCGGGACCTCTCGAGTCGGCAACACCATGAAACCCGGCATACAAACCACTCGACTACGGAGGTCGTCATGGTCGTGGTCATGGTCGTCAATGGTGAACATGATTCCCCTATTCGAGGGCGACTCAAGGCAACTGCCGTTATTTAATAAGAAATGCAAGTATATTCTAAATATTTTTGGGGGTAATAATACACAAAATCTATATTTATTTCATGTGATAACAAGTAGATTAACAGGGAGAGCCGCGAACTTAGTCGGGGAGAGGGAACAAATCAGTACATGAGAAGAATTAAAAGATATTTTACGTCAACATTTTGGGGAATCGCGTACTGAAGAGTGCCTATTACTTGAACTAGAAGCATTAAAAATACTGCGAGGCGAAAGTTATTTAGATTTTTGTCATAGGATTCAAAATCTTAGGAGCATTTTAATAGCCAAAGTAAATGAAACTATAAAAGACAAAAATATGATCACTGCCAAACAGGAAATTTATACACATGTATCTCTAAATGTGTTCCTGTACAATTTACCCGCTTATCTAGTACGTTTGGTTCGCCTCAGAAACGGACCAACTTTAGAAGACGCCCTGAAAATAGTTTTGAAAGAACAAAACTTCCAAACTGTTTACGATTACAAAAATAGGAATATAGAGTTCGGAAACCTTAGATACAATAATAATTACCAATATAATAATCAGCGTCAACCCATCTTTTCGGCACCAAACAGGCCACATAATAGTAATTTTTCTCATAATTTCAATAATAGACCTCAATATAATAATTCACAAAATAATAATGATGACTCCAATTTTAGAACCCCCAACAATAACTTTACACCAAATAGCTTTATGCAATCACGTAATTCATTCAGGTCAAATATTACGCGACCTAGCCAGTGGCAACAACCGGCCTTTAACCGGTCAACGCAGAATCAGCAGTTTGCGGACAATGCCCCGCGTAATACGAGCAGTCCATATGTTGGGTCAGGTAGCAACACTGACGTAACAATGCGCACGGCTAGCTCGAGACGTATTAATTTCATAGATAGCGAATTTGTAAACAATGACGAACCTGTCTCGGGATCGTCTGGGGAACCCGACATCGCAGAAAATTTTTGCGTAAGGGCCTCACCGATAGAGAAACCATAATTTTAAACTGTAATAAACAACTTAATCTTCCTCACATTCGGATACCGGAACTTAAATCAGTGTTTATGATAGATTTCACTTCACCCACAAATACACATTACTACCACATGCAACCAATCGTCGATATAACAGCGATATAACCCGATCTTAGATAGCCTGCAATCTTTATTTGTCATGTATTAAGGCTCCGTTTAACTTGAAGTTTTCGGCCAATCGCAGACACCTGGCGCTCGGCTCTGTTGACCTGACGTAGTGAGGCCATTATTTCGCGCACATTCGCATGGACGGATTCGAATGCTAATTTATCTATTGTGATAAGTGATTAGCTTGATTGTGGTATATATGTAGTTTAACAGAATCGAAAGTAGTGAAATTTTACTTGCCAAGTGTTGCGTATAGTGTTTGTTTTATTTCACCGTAAAGGTTTGTTTGCTTTTTTTGTTTCTTGCCGTCACGTAGGAATGGTGGAATTAGTACAAATAGATTGTTGTCTCACAGATTTCCTATTAAATGAGTTAACTTCATTCTCAAAACATTCGTTCGAAAATAAAACGTGGCCATGGCCTTCGGCTCTGTCTACCCCGTAAATCCCTTACTGATGTGATACTATGTATGTACGTAGAATAGAAATAATAAGCGGTATTTCTGCTGGTTTTTATTTGTGATGATGATGCTGGCAAGTTTCCCTTATTTTGGTTCTTTGCTTTTCTATATACTTATTTATAATCTGTGTATGAGTGACGTGTGCTTTATACAGTTTTTTGAACGCCACTTTTATCATAATCGACATGGACTGTTCATATAATACCAGTGATGTCATGTATGGTGAAGGTGGTGAACACTAACAACTATACAGCAAGCATGTTCTGTCGCATGAAAAAACTGTATACAACGCAACGCAAGCACCATACCTAACATTTCGTTGTAGTTTTGGGAAAGGTGTACTAACACACTATTATAAGGTAAGTAATTTATTGCATGTATTTTTATAAGTTAGTTAAGATATGACATTTTGCTTATTCACGCGTTTGTCGTTTTTTTTGTTCCGGCTTTACCTTTCTTTTTTTTTACCCCACGCCACTGGTACTTGTCGATGCGCACATACTTTGCAACAGCCAAAATAACGTGTAAGATAGATAGATCACCAACGCGTACGCCACTGCTACTACCTGCCCAAACCCGCGTAAAGAATACGTTGATTTCAAACATAAATATTTTATTTATTATGAGGACATTCTATTCCGACCGATATTCACTAATGTAGTCACCCAACTTTACAAAAAGGGATCAATTAACTTAGTAGAATGCACAGAGCGAGTAGTTAACCTAACAAACTCTGAGGATGACCAGGTAGACTTGATACGCAAATATCACGAGGGCAAAACATGCCATCGAGGTAAATGAAACATACGCTCGACTTAAGAGGAGTTATTGGTGGAATAATATGAAAGAAACCATAACTGCCATTATAAATGGGTGCAACCAGTGTAAAAAAAAAATATGAACGAAAACCTATTAAACCTCCAATCCCGTTGACTCAAACACAGGATGCACCATTTCAGGAGATTTTTATAGACTTACTATTCATTGAAGGTAAATACTACCTAACAGCCGTTGACGCCTTTAGTAAATTAGCTCAAGCAATTTTCATTCCCAAACGAAGCACACCCGAGGTAGTTAGAGCCCTAATAAAATATTTTAGCATGTATGGTTTACCGATAAAGATAAATAGCGACTCCGGAGGTGAATTTAACAATGACCTTTTAAAGGAACTATTGAACTTTTACAAAATTGATATCCATATAGGAACACCAAATAACCCCACTTCAATGGCCATAGTTCTAATAAAAGCTTGCCGTTATGAATTAACACCTATAATTACTACACTAGTCAATCAATCATATAAACAAGGCGTCTTCCCAGATCGACTAAAACTTGCAAAAATCAAGCCCATTTTAAAAAAGGGCGGCAAACCTGACAATCCAAACCAATATAGGCCAATCGCATTGCTTCCTACGTTATCCAAATTATTTGAAAAACCCATGTCTAATCGAATTTACTCTTTCTTAGAAAAATACAAAATATTGGATAAACATCAATATGGTTTTCGCGAAAATCATTCCACCATCCTCGCTACATACAATTACACACAGAAGATCTTAAACCATATTAGGGAGAAATGTCACGCGGTAGGGTTGCTCTTGGATATGTCCAAAGCCTATGACAGAGTTGATCACGAAGTGTTGCTGTCAAAGCTGCATGGAGTTGGTATACGTGGAAATGCCCATAATTGGTTTCGTTCGTATTTGCATAATAGACAACAATTCGTTCAAATTGAAAATGTAGATAATGAAACCGGGGAAACTAAATTTATTAAATCAGAAACAGTAACCCTAAATCACTCAATCCCCCAGGGTAGTGTTTTGGGTTGTGTTTTGTTCCTGATATATATTAACGACTTAGCAAAAACAACGAACACAGAATGTATTCTTTTTGCTGATGATGTCACAGTCCTTTTCAAATGTCCCAAAAACCTTAACTGTAATCCAATTATAGATTCCACACTGGCAACATTACAAAAATGGCTCAACTTGCATAATTTAGAAGTAAACAAAAATAAAACTAAACTCATTCAATTTCATCCATACCAAAAGCAACCACTTGATTTAAACAAGGTTAGGATTTCCCAAAATATTGAAGAAGTAACCGATGTTCAATTGTTAGGCATAACCATCGACTCACATCTGAACTGGAAACCTCATATAGATAAAATAAAGAAAAAGGTTTCACAATTTATTTTCGCGCTTAGCGTTCTTAAGGCCAATACGAATGCAAAATGCGCCTTGTCTGCTTACTACGCATATACATACGCATGGTTGCGCTATGGAATAATATTATGGGGGCATAGTACGGACGTTCACGACCTTTTTATCCTTCAAAAAAAGTGTCTCCGTATTATCGTCAATATCAGACAGCAAGTAAGTTGTAAACCACATTTCATTAAAGAGAAATTGTTAACCCTTCCTTCACTGTATATCATGGAAATAGCATTGTTTGTTCGCAAACAACCAACATATTTTACATTCAATAAAAATCCGCGATATAAATTTGATTTAGTATTACCAGTGCCAAAACTAGAAATGTTCAAAAAAAGTCCTCTATACCGTTCAATTTAAATATATAACAAAATTCCGATAGAAATTAAAAGAGAAAGCAACATAAATACATTTAAAATGAAACTCAAGCAACATCTAATCAAGAAAGCATACTATTCGGTAAATGAATTTATGAATGATAAGTGAAACTGTCACGGAAAGCTCACTAACTTGTTTGAAATTAAAACTGTTTAGTAGTTGTGCTGATATAGTTATTGTACTTGCAACACCCTGACAGGGTCATGTACCATGCCAAAATAATTTTAAGATCCTGTATATACTGTACATGTGCAATTAATTAAATAAATAAATAAAATAAATAAATAGTAGAAAGGTTTCATTCGACTATTATAGAGATCTACCGCATCGCAAAGTATGAAAGAAACGAACAAGATGCTTGCTCTGTTATGACATACGCGATAGTGGCTTATAATAACGCAATTCATACCGCGACAAACTTCACACCGTGAAGGTAACGTGTTTGACACAAATAGAGACTTCAATCTTCTACAAATTTTAGTCCAGGATCATAGAAAAAGATTGAAGGTTCTCTACGAATTTATTAAGGGGAAATTAGAAACCGACAAGGTACAGGTTAGAACTAAAAAGGGAGGCGAAGAGCCACCACAAATAAACGTAGGCGACAAAGTTTTTATGAAAAATACCAGAATAAGAAAAGCTAAGGACTTACCCCGATACGACGAAGCCCAAGTTGTAGGCGAAAATAGTAGAAATATATTACCTGTACAGCTTAAACATAGAAAAACTAAAGTAGCAATTAAGAATATTAAACGCCCTCCGCAGGTTGTTCGCGATGGTGTTAACCCTAGACCAGGGGTTCCCAAGGTTTTATTGGTCAGGGACCACTATTACATATTTTTTTTTGGCACAGACCACTGTTTAGTCACTAAATAACTAAATTTTAGTGTAATAAAAATAACCTGTAATAATCAAACTGAAACTTTAATTAAAAATCTCATATGAAATGAAATAAAAAGAAATAATAACATTTTTAGCGGGCGCGCCCGCTAATTTCAAATTCATTCGCGGACCATATTTTGGCTTCTGCGGACCACTGGTGGTCCACGGACCACTGGTTGGGAACCATTGCCCTAGACCATCAGGCACACGGTCTGAACCTACAGAGACTAGACCCGAATCCAGGAATAGCTCCCATTCGGATTGGTACAGCGACGAAGAAGATTGACCACTGGAGTATCATTAAGACTTTAGACTTAGAATTATTAGAAAATCAGTTAGAACGTAATATAATAGAGTATCATAAGATTAAAACACTAGTATTTAAGGAAACTGAGACCCGTAGGGAATTATTAGGATTAACGGTACAAGTAGAGTCCATACTTAATTTAACAAAAGATAGGTTAGCACAAATCTTACCAAGGTATAGAGTAAAACGTGGCTTACTGAACCCATTAGGTTCTCTTATTAAGATAATTTCAGGTAATTTAGATAACGAAGACGCTATTAAATATAATCAGGATATAAGTAACCTTAAAAATAGGGAACATTCCGTAGAAAATAAGATATCACTTATGAAAGTTGCCGTAGAAAAATTGATTAATATATCAAGTGACATTAACCTTAACGTTAATTATATTAATTTTAATAATAAGCGTTTAGGATCTTTTATAAATAACCAAACTGTTATTTTAAGCTCATTCAGATTAATGAATAGTATGTACCAAATTCTAAACAACTTTCGTACAATCTATCAAGTTATCGATGAAGTAGAAACAGCAATTGCCTTTAGTAAGCTCAATACATTATATAAATTCATTATTAACTCAACTGAACTAGTTAACATTTTGATGGAAGTAGAAAAAC